TAAACATTTGGTCTTCCAATAAAAAGGACAATTCAGAAATTGGCATTTTTCTTCACAACTCATTGCAAAGAAGACTACTAATTTCATTCTTTCATTGACTTTTAAGTAATCAAATAGTAGAAAATGGAAGCCCACAATTTTCCCCATAAATTGATGCTCCTCCCAATTTTCCAATACATTAATTAAGTGGATGGATAGGACTCTTTAATTGACCATGAATGCACTTTGAGTACAAAGTATGGGAGCACTTTTAAAAAAATGAATTTTAAGTCATCCACTTACCCTTCTTGGTCAATTTTACCGACCATAGACAAAAGATAGTAACAATTCCTTCTACTTGAAAACTATACCCTTTGGCCTTTGGTTATTTATAATCAAACAGAATGATAATTAACTACTCCCTCCATCTCATTTTATATGAGTTATTTTATTTTGACACGATTTTTTTTTTTCAAAAAAGAGACTTTGAAAATTTGTGGTCTAAAATAAGTGATAGATATTTGTATGACTATAAATTATTTCATTAAGGCTAAAATAGACATTTTAAAGTTAAATTATTGCTTAATATAGAAATGTGTCATTCTATTTGAGAATAACAAAAAAGGAAAGTGAGTCATATAAATTGGGATAAATGAAGTACGTAGTAATTTTCATTGAATTTTGCATAATGTTACATAATAATTAATATCAAACTTATGAATCAGATTATACTATGTATGGTAATAGTACAAAATTTTAGTTTATGAATTCTGAATCATTATTCTCTTTAATTACATTCATTAAAGTTATTAAATTCTATCGAACTTATAATTATTTTAGAGTCATTTCCCTAGATAGACACCCATGTTTGGGAAATTACCTAGTAATATCACTTATATTTGTTTTAGGACTATAATATCACTCAACTTTACCTATTTTCCTCAAAATATACTTGACACAAAAAAAAACATTATCTCTTTCCTAATGGGATGCCATGTCACATTTTTTTAATTTATTAATAATATTTTTTTTAATTCTTTAAATGTCTGTAGGCTCCTAAAACTAAGTAGTTTAGTTGTGGAATGCCTACATTAGGAATTGAAGTGTTTGTGCCCCTGTTGCGTGTCTATTTATTTCAAACATTTAACCACCATTATAAATCGGGGGTTTATTTTAATACAAAGGAAATAACAATTTAGATAGATAAA